AGGTTAAGTTCCAAGGAGGCCTTAGGTGTATCTTATTTCCTCTATTTCACACCACTTATAACTGAAACACACATAAAGGAATGTGGCTGTAAAGACAATGAATCGTCATTGTAGAATAACAGTGAAAATTTTAGAATGGAAATAACTTTTCTAACAATCAGTCATGACAATTGTACGCTTTTGAACCACTGCTCACTGTAGTGTCTGTATAACAAAGTCCTTTAATACTGTTAAAATCTGCCACTGTAACTGTTAATTGGTTCTTAGGGTCAGAATGTGTGGATGTAAATTCATGCCCAGATGACACCACATTACCATTACTCTACAGAGACTTTGCAAAGCATGACACTGAAAAAGTAACTGCTGCCTTATAGAATTCTTAAAATAAGCAACTACATTCTTACAGCTTTAGCATTCACAAAAAAATCACCATCAACTGCTAGACCGTATTAAGTGATTCATTTCTAGAATATTTTAATAAAAGTATTTTATTTCTTATTATAAGTGAAGTTAATACTCGCACAGTGCTGGAGGTTTTTGTTATCTTAAAGATACAGTAAAATTGCCAAATAACCTTAAATTGGTTAGGAGCTTAAACTACTGAAATAATCCATTAAATATTTACAGGAAAAAAAAAAAAATCAGAAGTTCACAGCACCATACCTGTGCCCTTGCATGAACTTCCCCAAGGAGACTCAAGTACTGCTGTTCCAGATACTGCTTTTGTTTCTGCCAACAGCTTTCCTGTGCTTTCATCTGTTCAGCCATTTTGCTAAAAGCATCTTCCTGGCTCTGCTGAAGCTCCTTCATAGTATCGGACTTATTCTTACAAACATATTCTAGGTGAGATATCTGTATGACAAGTAGTTAAAATGAAATTCTTTTACATCTCAAAAGACATTTTTACTTTAATTGTACCTTATTTATACATTAGTTTAAGCGCAGACTATTCCAGCACAAAATTTAAAATGCAATTTCTTCAACATATTTATTAAAACTAAGTAAAAGCCTTTCACGACATATGAATGATATTTTCGTTACATACTTGAATCTTGCATACTTTCCTGACATACTTGAATCTTGGAACAAAACTGAGACATATTGTGGAAGAACAAATTTTCCCTGGTTTGAGTTTTGCCATCCTTATACCATCTTGCAAATATCTGTGGCCTCCTTTGTTGAAAACCTGAACAGGACACTTCTCATATTTTTTTGAAACAAGTTATCAAATCTTGTGCTGTTCAATTAGTAATCTGAGTCTACCAATCCTCTGGCAGTTTGCAAGGATTGCAAGTAATAAGGAAAAAACCAGCCCTTAATTTTACTTTTTGCTTTATTGGAAAGCCAAGACATTCCATGTATTGTTAAGTATTAAAATAGTTCCAGGACATTTTAGCATACAGAATGCTTTTGTCAGAAGTAGCTCATAAGTTCATGATGTGTTTCCAACAAGCATAAAGGGATTCAACTTCGTGATTTAAATTTGTGACTCCCATGTAAACTAAACGGAGGAATGAATCAAGATAACAATGAGCTCTAAATATATGTTCTTACACTTTGTCACTAAAGAATACTATTGAGATAGATACCTTCAAAACTGCAGAAGAAAAACTTTATTCTCAGAAAGCAGGTACAACACAGGTAACAACACTGCCCCAAATCCCTGAAAAGCCGGTAAGTACATGAAAGAGCCCTAGGGACTTCACAATCAACCTCAGTAATGATGCTATATTAAAAGGCAAACAATAACGCATAGCTCCTCCAAACACTGCCAGCAATGCTCACGCCCTTCCCTCCCATTACCTATCCTCCTCTACCCCAAAAGGAAAAAAGACATGAACATCCAATCTGCATTATACAGATTTTTTAAATACCCCATTGACTGCTGGGGTACTTACTAGATGATGGACAGAGTCAAAACAATTCAGTGTAACCATTCCTGTCCCTTACTTGGGCCAGAAGAGTGGCCACAGTTCCAGCAGAGGAGAAATACCTAGAAAAGCTTTTGCCTTCCTATGCCTCAGGAACAAAATGTCAGGGCAGCCAAGATCAGGACTCACTCTTCTAGACTATAGGACTGGCCTGATCAATAGAGGCAGAATATTAACTGAAATCCTAAAGAGTGGCGTATGTTAGTATGTGGACTCAGGCTGATTTATTTAAAATGAGGTCTTTTTTTTTTCCCCTAAAAACTTGGAGATTTCTGGGGAGAAAGGCCACAAGAGCTTATTCACATTAGAGTCATTCTGAAAAGTACAGCTTCTCCCTTAAACAAATATTGACATGCTTTATAAAAATAAGTATTTTCTAGTGTATTTCTAAATACAAATTTCATCATCCAAAAGTTAAAATTAAACAACAACAAACAAACAAAAAAAAATATACTGGCATTTTTTCAGATAGTACCCTCTGAGTCATAAACATATAATTTAAAGATGATGTTTCTGGAGTAAATGCATTTTGTTTCTGTTTTATGCTAAAATAAAGACTTGCTTTATTAGTGTAAATGACTAAGTTCTTTGAATTGCTTCATCAGTAAGATTAATTTATTTTCTTTTAATTAGGTCCCTGTGGCTAATATTGGCTAGTACTATTAGCATGTCCTGCACAGAAAGTGGAGCTTAGAGACTTCATACAGACTTCAGTCACATTTACATGCCCACAGCAATGGCATCAAACTGAGTTGTAGACAAGCCATAATTAATGGTATTGAATTATTAACGTCCAAATTCTTTTTGAAATACGATGAATGTCAGTCCTTTTTAATGATACTGTGATGTGGACAAATGTCACTGAATTTAATAGAGGTAGCTGATGCCTAAGGACACTTACCTTCTCATTAGCCCTGTTGAGGTCTAAGATCAGGGCATCAACATTCTCCTGCAAGACTGCACAAAGCTCACACCAAGAGAATCTATCTAGGATGCCTTCTGATTGTTTTATAAGCACACAGCCTGCTACCAAACGCTGGTATAAACTATGGAGAAAGGTTAGCTTCTCCTGAGAGAGACAAAAAGCAAAATTAACTGTTGTATCTGAACGGTGTTAAAACCCAAAGAGATGCATCGTACGTGTAATGATGTGAGCTGCACAGAGCTGAAATAAAACGCCGCAAAGCTCATTCTCAGACCTTTACAAAATTCCTCAGTTCCTTGTTCATATTTGCAGTCACACATAGTATAGCCAGAGTAAGAAAACAGTTTTTACTAAATTTTTCTAGTTACACACAGTACATAAATAGAGATAGCCCACTCAGGCAACGGTCAGAACCATGACCCGATACAGACAAAAATTTCCATGCTATTAGTAGATGCCATTTAATCATTCATGTTAGCACTCCCAGGTACATTCAAACTGCACCCACTTCCAGTACTTACACAGCTTACAGCTTCATCAGTTAAATTCTGCAAGCCATGCCTCATGCATTTACAGTGATTTCAGTCAGCAGTGTAATAAATTGATGGGAGTTACAAACAAACTTCAGTAACAGGGGCATGGGGCTGACTCCAGTATGCACACGCGCCACACAGCAGCGCCAACACAGCAGGAGGAAGCTCCATCTCTGAAGCCACAAGTAAGTCACTGTACAGGTTTCCATTGTTTTCCAGAGGCCTCAGATGAGGTTTTGCATTAAGAAATTGTGGATGACCAAGATAGCGGACTACGTTTTTTTCTGAGCCTTAGGTACATTTTCTCACAGTTATTTCATGGTATTTTAGGCAATTAAAAAAATTGTAATTTAGTTCCGTTTAGCTTTGTTTCTGGCAGGTCTCCTAATTCCCCAAGGAAACCCAATGTGCCACCATCACACACTTGTGACTGAGCTGTGATAAACCAAGAATGATAATTAACCATTTGGCATGAAAAAAAGGATTCCAAGACCCAAAAAATCAATTCACACATGTTGAATGAAACCACAGTGTTGTAGACATGCTGACTTTACAGTATAGCCAGGCTTCTAGTTTCCTTCACTTTAATCACAATCTGATGTGTATAACAATTCCAGCTGCTTCATGTGGACACTATTAAAATACCAGACTGTAAAAGAGGTGGAAAGAATGTTTCCTTTTCACTCAGTTGGCATCCATGTCCAAATCTGTGGAAGTAATGAGCTCAATATGCACAACAACCATGATAAAGAATATAATTACTACTGTTAATACAGAACTGCATTACTGGGGGGAAAAAGCAACAAACTCAACATCTGTAAACAAATATGAGAGAGATAATTGTTGTAAAAGAAGATTTTTGTGAAGCCATTCCACATACAGCACACCACAATGAGCTAACAGGTCATAAGAACTTCTAGGTTTCACGGCACACGGGCAAAACTACCTCAATTCTGTATTTGCTATCTAACAATTGCTATGTGAATCTGTAATTAACAACATATGATAATGACACTATCCTATGCTCCAATTGTAAACCATTCTTGTTAACTTGCAATTTGAAAGAAAGAAATAATTGTTCATCAGGTGTAGCACTTTAAATAAACTTAGTTGTTCAAAAAATTGAAAATTACTGGAAAGGCTAAGCTATTCTGATACAGAAGGAAAGAGAATCAGTATGTCCTGAGATCTTGTAGATATTAAATACATATTTCAAAATGCGTATCTTAAAATGATATTTTGGGGATAAATCTGTTAAGACTGAGAGTAACCATCTCATGTATGTAAATGTATAAAGTTGAGATTAAATAAAGACTCTTTTTGACAGTCATCTTGTCTCTGGTAATACCTCCGTATCCTTCTGGTAAGCCCTGGTAAGCTGCTGGATTTCATTTTCAGATTCTGTGGCACGTATTTTCTCCTTCTCCCAACACTGCCGTACGTTCTGCAGTTCCGTTCTGAAAGTCCCTATTAAAGTCTCTCTGTCTGCACACTTAGTGTGCAGATGATTTAACTCTTTATTGGCATCAGCCAGGTTATCCTGAGCTTCCTGCATGGAAAAGAAAGGCTAGTAAGAATTTCAGTCTACAAAATGTTACCTTAGTTCAGTGCTTGGCGTCTGACAAAGTAAAAAGCCATAGAGCTACACGTGTTCAGAACACTCCAGGCTAAGCCGACTGTATCTTGCCAATAACAGAACTTCAAAAATCGACAACAGTCCTTCTCCACAGCTTGTAACTAGATAGCACAGAAATGCACCTCAGAGTTAACAGCTCCATGATGCGGTGACCTTCAGAATCCCCTCTACCCTCACAACTGAGATGCAAGTTAGGCTCTGCAGAGTGGAGAGCTCTCGGAGCTGGTGAAAAGATACAGTGCTTTCATAAATACATCTCTGACCCACAGCAGCTGAGGCGGTAGGCTACACAGACATCTCTTGTCACCCACTGTACTCTTCATCTGCATGACAGAAAAACTTGTTGACTTTCTTTGGAGGTTTGACCACAGGAAGGAACTAACAGTTGGAAATGGTCACAAATAACATGTATTATGTTACCAGCACCAGATCTCACAAGGTAAACAAAGAACTTAATACATTACCCCTTTTAAGCCAGAAGATGGCTGAGATGGAGTGGAGAGATACTCATGCTTTACTCCCCTACAAGCACTGGACTTCCAGCACTGCTGAAGTTTGCTAAAGATCAAACTGAAAGCATTGTTTGTTTTACATAAAATTCTAGCTACTTATATAGGAAATAATAGGAATGATCCTCTTGAATTCAACGGACAATGACAACTTTTTTGCTTCTTCATGAAAATATTAAAATATTAAAGCAATGTTATATTTCTAACACAAATGTTTTTAGATTGAATCTAGTTTTCACCCATATACACAATTTTATTACCAAAAATTCAAACAGAACAGAAACTGGCCTAGTGCATAAAAACCATCACCATCTGCATGTAGCAAACTGAGTTCTTGCATGAAGAATACAAATATCTGCGGCAATGAATTGCAAAATTCTTAAGCACCTTACAAAGATGCTGCAACAGAAGAAGTTTTAAGTCTTCTGAACATAAATTAGTAAAGTCAGATCAGACAACGAGAAATCATACGCAAATATTGATTAATATGAAGATTCAGGAAGTGTTGCAGAAGTATCTCTGAGTAGAATGAAGTGATAAAGCAGCAAAATAGTCTGAGAAACACTAGGAGTGTAGACAATCTACTTTGGCAGTAATATAATACACTGCCAGTTGGGAGATTAAGTTTAACCATGACCTCAGGACATCCTCACTCCCTTGGCCACTGATGTAACCAGACAGGACATTACAAAAGTGGTCTGTCAGCCAAAAACAGAGATAGAAAAAAAAATGTTACTCAGGAACTAAAGAAAAGAGTTCTTAAGTGTTTTTATCAGTTCCCAGGTAGATTTTACTACAGAAATTCCAGGCTGCACTTTGTACAACTGTTAATGATGACCCCAATGCTTCATACGTACATTAAGTTGTCTAATAAAACACAAACAAAAAATTAACAATGGGAAGGACATGGAATCATAGAATCATTTCAGTTGGAAAAGATCTTTAAGATCACTGAGTCCAACCATTCAACATATTTAATAAAATGTGCTTTCATATAAGCACAACTAATTAAATTCTCTTCTCCTTTTCTTGAGAAATGATTGAGAAAAAAAATTTCTGATTTCAACATAGAACAGTACTTTACAAATTGATAAATCCATTTCAAATTATTACAGAATTGTAATCATTGAAATGAACAGTTATGTCATTTAAAGTGATGACCAGAATAAAGTAGCATGGCTTGACACAAGCTTGCAAGGTAAACTAGTCTGCTCAACAGAATACAATGATATACAGACTTACTCTCATAAGAGGAAAAAAAGATACCTTCAATCCAGAAACATAATTTTCCCAGAACCTGAAAATTTTCTGTTAAGTTCATGAAGCCATACCTTAAGGTCTTGACCTAGAGCATACATTTTCTCTTTGGACACCTCAAGTTCTTTTGTCAGCTTTTCACACACAGTCTTCATTTTCCCAAGCTGTGAAAAATACAGAAGTCAAACAGGCTTTTACAGACAGGCTACATAATCACTTGAATATAGAGGAAGAATTTTGTATATAAATGCAAAAAAATAAAACTGGTTTCAATTCTCTTGACAATACTTATACTCCATACAATTGAAATATTGTGAGATAACAAAAGCACAAAATAACTTTTACAATGGTTTAAGATAAATAGCAGTGGCAGAACCCCAAACTGAATCCACTATTAACCTTCCCATTAACTCTCAAAATATCTGAAAAAAATCTGCAGACTTTGAAATGCATTTAAAATGGAATAATTCAGATTATTATCTGGGGAGTTAGAGCAAACAAGTTTTTAAAGTCAGTAGCATTTTGCAGAGATTGTCCAGCTACAAGCCTGGTCTCCCTTTTTACTGAGCTCTAGATAGTGCTCACACACTCACAAAAAGCAGCACTGCTTCCAAAAGGCACGGTGACTACTGAACTGTTGGCAGTGTTACTGAACTGTTAGCTACTTTTCCTTAGAAGTAGCTGATGGCCATAATGTGTACTAGTGCCACTTGCCCCTTTCAAAAAAAGATTACACCACATCATTACAATCTCTGCCTCTGGTTACCTGGTGTTGTTAGCAATATAAACATCTGAATAGAAATGTATTATAGTGCAGGTTAGAGCTGGCACTTGAACATTAAGATCCAACTCAGAGGTAAAATGACCTGTTAAAAAAAAATTTACAGGTTGTCTTGGAAATTATATTTTTTTTGATGTCTAATCAGGAGATCTGGTAGAACCCCTTCACACAGTAGCAAAAGGTGGCATGTGACGAGTTTACCAGCATATTTCATGTATACATACAGGTGTACATGTACACAATAACTCCGTCAATATGTGGGGTCTTGTTGAAAATCCCTCTATAAAAAGAACCACTACATAATTACTCAAAACTAAACACATACTGCTGTGTATTAAAACATCCCGGTTTTATTGCACAGCGCCCTTCACAGTCCCTTTGTGTATTTTTGTATTATTAAAAAGTTTTATTACTAAACATATCTAAAATAAAAAAAGCCAAAAGCAGTGTTATCAGTGGGGGCAGGGATAGCCAAGAAGGACGGAGCACTGCCCTTTCTGTGCACCATGAAGGTGCTTGGTGATCTCTGGCTCCATATGACAACTTCAGGGTCAGTCACACACAGTCCTACTGGGAAGTCTTGTGGCAGGTCATCTGTTGGTCCTGCTCTGCTTGCGATTTGTTTTCTTTGACAGTTCATTCTTCTTTCTGTCAGAATACTCTCTTTGCTTTCTTAGCAGCCACCCCCTTGGTCTCCCCACTGCTGTCTCTGGCACAGTTTCACAACAAAGCACATCACTAAGCCAAAGCCTGCTGAGTCGACTTTTCAACTGTGCTGTCTATCACGTGACGTTCCTCCTCCCAAATAACAATTCGCTGTGGGTAATATGTTACTAGTTACTCTGCAGCTTCCAGACTTGGGTCTCAGAAGAGCTTCATAATGACCATACACATCAGTTCTCTTATCTCACTGGGAGAGACCTAACAGTGCTTGCTGTTTACAAAAGTATAATTGTTTCCATGGTCACTTATTTTTGTGTCCGTTGAACAAACTCAGGGGTCTTGTGGGAGATCATTCTTTTCCCAATAAAGGGGCAGAGCCAATATACTTACTTTTTTTTTTTTTTCTTTTTTTTCCACATTGTGACCGACTAGCTAGACTATGCATTTGTCAAAACAAAAGACAAAACTTAGAAACAAAAAAACAGTACTGGCAGATTTACAACGTTATCACACCTTGCCTTCCTATATTTGCCAATTTTATCCAAACATTACAAGTTTGTACAGAGAGCTTTGACAGTGCAGTTAATGTCTCTTTACAGCCTTTAAAGCCACAAATTCGTAAAACATTTACACCCAAGAGGATTCATTTAATCACATTAGCAATACAAATGAGAAAATAAATGCAAGATTGTGACTTTTCAGTCAGTGAAATAAAAGGCCAGTAGGACTGCACAGAAACATTTAAATTTTTTTCCATGGAAAAGACTTCCAAACTTGAAACATTTCCATTATTGTCTTAGATAATTTAAAGGAAGAATTGTCACAGTGCTATTTTGTTTGAAAAGACCTCAAAACAGCACCAAAAGAGATTTCTTCATAAACGCAGAGAAAATTATGCAACTTTTTGAATGTATGAGGGCATGCCCATTTACATAACTGATACCAAGGACTGTTGAGGCACAAGTGTTGCGTATTTAGAATATCGCAGTATGCACTGCCCAACTCATAAATCACCATCTTTTAACTGAATTGCTAGATATGAACAGCACATTCTCCTGAATATTTATTGAAAATAGTAACCCCAACAGGTTTAGTAAGAAAACAAAACCAAACCAAACTAAAAAGAATGAAAACACCTCTTCTCCCTGTCCCCCTAAACGTAAGTGAAACTTCACTGCAGGGCAGGCTTAGAGAAATAGTAGTGACAGACATTACTTCTTTGGGTATACATGAAGCTGTCAGCTGAACTTTCCCACTCTTCTGACCTTTATTATGAGCAAAGCTTACAAACTGCTGCAGGCCAAACATGATACATATAGAGCCAAACAGTGCAAGTGTTACCTCATTAGACATCTCTTCCAGCTTGTTCCGGTAAGCTGTCAAGGTACACCTCAAAGTCTCAAGGACAGAGAGGCTTGGAAATTTATCTTTGTCCTTACAAGTGCCTGAAGAAAAATACAGAATGAAAATTAAGCCTTGAAGCCACAGAGAGAAAACTACTCACCCTGGATGAGAGAGATTAAAATCAGTTAGGGCTTCGGTGACAATACAAAACACTGAACAGCAGCCTTATTTGCCACAAGAGATGCAGCTCAATAGCCACACTTTCATAGCAAATACAGCTAATATTTGTATAAAAGCTTTAATACAAGATACAGAACCATAAACTGTGGATTACATTTCTACCTAATGCATGTAGAAAGCAATCTCATGTGTAATTTCTACTGTGGTCAAACCTATGCCATTCAGTCAGACTAGCCAGCTTTAAAACCACACAGTAACACACTTTAAAAAACATGTTGCCTGAAAGTTAGGTATGTTAGACTTTTCCTGCCATTATTTTCCTGTTGTGACTAAGAATGCTTATTATAATGTAGTACTTCATTTACTCAAAGCTTTACTGAGCCAAAGATCACATGACTATGTTATGCTTGGAGAGGCCTTAAAAATCTTTTACATTATCTTAAACTTCATTCCAAAGAAAATAATTCTTTAAAAAATTATCTGTCTGTAGAGTCCTACATAATGTCTCAATTATAAAACTTAAAAGTTGATATACCCATTTTATACCCACTACACTTATTTATTAAACCTTTAGATGGAGACTTCTGATCTGGTTGCCTTAATTAGGGACACATGAACACATTTGAGCATTCCAAAGCCCTTAGTACAATGTGCTAAGAAAGCAAAACAATACTATATTGATCAAGAGGTCACAAGATGTCAGCTGATATTAAATTTCCAAGAACAAACTATTCAATTTTTTTCTGGTGTTACAGCAAAACACCAGGTTATTGACAGATTCTTCTTCTCAGCATTATTTATATTAGTATGCAGCATTCATAAACTTCTTTTGTAACAAATTATAGTACTGTCTTGCCATATTCTATAAGCAAAACTAACTTTACCATTGCTAATACCATCCCTCTTTTGCAAAAGAAGTGAAAAATCAGTTGCATCTGAACTCCGGAGAGGCTAAACAACCATGACTCCCAGCAGAACTAAATGATGATAGGGAATGATATCACCTCTGAAAGGTCAGTGACACTAAACAATTTACCTAGGGTGGCTCATAAAGCCAAATCAGATACTAAACTCTAAGCCTTTTCTTTGGCTTTCCGTAAAACTTTGTCAGCTAGAGGAGGTGCAATTACAGACTCACAGTTTTGGGTATTTTTTATAAGAATCCTATGGTTAGCATTATCTAATAAGCATGATATTCTACTCAAAGCATTACACAGAAATTATAGATTTGTCCTGTAGGCTATACATCATAAACCAATGGTAGTCAGTGTAAAACTCAGAATATGCACAAGTCAAAGTATTGCTAACAGCCATTCTGAAAATTGCTTCAATTAATTCGGCTCTTCTCTCTCAACCCTTTGATAGTATCAGAAAGCACAGAGTACTATTCAGATTGGACACTAACTTTTCACTTTGACTTGCCAGCCAACTATTAAAGTCACACCTCATCAAATCAATGCAGGTTTGCAAGATTGCTTTCAGTAACAGGAGCAAGATCTGCTCTGTACAACACAAGTGTATTTTAAACGAATGCACGTCACAATGACAGACTTCTTCTCTGTCCTATCAGCCAATCCAGTGGATATCTATTTACCATAATTTCTGAAGGTCTGCCAAGTCAAGGAAAAGCAAATTCTTAATGAGACGACAGTGCCCTTAATCAAACCTCTGAATCCTAGAAACGTCCCAAGTATTAATGTTACACTTAGCATATATCTAAGAAGAATTCATAAGACCTGATCTTTTGTGAGAACTTTAGATTTTGCATGTACACAGAGGCCAGTACTGCCTTACTATCATTTTTATCACTCAACCACAGCTATAGTTATGGATGCATAGGGCTCCCAGTCCCATCTGCTCAATTACAAGAGTGAATTCTCAGTCTTGAGGTGGAGCATTTTGCAGTGATCTTCTTGCACAGAAAAAAAACAAAGTACTATTCTTCCATACTTCTAGCTCTGGAGAAGTTGTAACTCATCATTCTCATTGAGTTTAAAGTAATGCCTATCAAGTAGGGGTTGTCTTCCATCTCAGTTTTCATCAACCTGTCTAAATAATGTATCTTCATTTCTAAAGTCCCAACCTACAACACTGTCACTGACACATGCCTCTGAACTATCTTAATTTACATCATGTTTGCCAAAAACAGACTTCTGCCAGTAAACTTGCCTTGATAGCATTCCATGCCTTTGCTGCAACCCTATTTTCTAGGCAGCTCTCTTTGCCAAAGAATTACCAGATTCCACCTTCCTGCAGTGGCTGAAAGCAAGCCTACGGCTTTAAAACTGGACAAATGTTGTCTGGCTTCATACAACTACGCAGGAGACAAGCAACATAATCCAAATGGCACTCCCTTGCTACATAGACTCTACTTCAGTGATGAGGAAAGAAAAAACAATCCAATCCTTGAGGCATTTGACCAGTATCACCTAAGTGTTGGGGAAGAATTTTGGGAAAATGAGAGGTACAACAGGAGGTATACAGGTAAGAAAGATCTTAAACCTGTTGCTTCAGACCTTCTACTAATAGTACTGAGCCTGGCTAGGATAAAATTAATTTTCTTTGTAGTATCTCACATGGTGCTGTGTTTTAGATTTTTGACCAAAAGAGTACTGGTGGCCTGTGTTAAACAGGGACACTAACTTACAGCAGCTAACAGTCTTAGGACATCATACTGATGTCACGTTTTTTTTCGGATTACTGGATTACTAGAACCACCACAAACTTCATCAAGTACAAACCCTGTTGCTGAATAATTGCAAAATATGATGAACTGAACAGGGACAAAATAAAATCATGTAAATTGCCCAATAAGAAAACAGTGCTGTGGAAAATATATAAAAGTAACTTGAAAAGGAGAAGACATGGGTTTATGTTTTTTATTCTGGAATGTATAATAAAAAAAAAAAAAAAAAACTTCTAAAAATATTCCATTTTTTAATTTAAAAAAATAATTTTTAAAAATCTCTTCTTTTTCCCATACAGCTCAGTAATCACATCCCAATCAGGACTTAAACAAAGGGGCTGGACCTTTAATATTGACAGATTTTAAAATAGAACTCTCAACTCCATGAGCTGAAAGATAAAAACAAAAAGAAGAAAGACAGACTGCCCAACCAGCTCTGGCTCATGTATGCTCTCATCTGCTAATTAGACTAAAAAGATTTATTTCAGATTTTTATTTTTAGTGACACCTAGCCATTCCCATTTAAATTTGATTACATTACACAGTTCTTTGGAAAGTGAGGGAAACAATGTTTTATAATAAATTCATAAGTAAAACACAGTAAGGTAATACAATCAAAAATTCAAGTTTCACACTTGGAGGCATAGTAAATATGTAGAACAAATGTATCAGTCAATGTCTATTTTAAAAGTAGACATAAAGACTCAATCCATAGCAGAACTGAATTTGTCTTCCTGCCTCAACTAAACCTTTGCAGAGATGATGAAGTTTTTTTTTAAAAAAAAATAAATAAATAAACCTCTTTAAATACAATCTTTCAAAAAGATTTTATTTTTAAAATCTTAAACAAAATTAATACTGAACTTACTGTTACTGAATCCTTAATATTACAAAAACAGGTCAAAGCTGTTCTCTGCAAGGTTTACCACTAGGGAGAACAGAAAACCTACCCAAAAGACAATTACTGCTTTGGAAACTGCACTTCGGCAGCAGTATCCAGATCCCCCCAGAATTGCTTGAAGCCCCCCTGGGCACACTGAACTTTGCAAGACTGGGGAAAATACACAGTTTTGAAAAGCTTTTCAGTCTGATGTATCTACAGTAAACCTATAGGTATTACCCACAGGAATTACATTTATAATTGTAGAATAAAACTGATACCAGCTCCCAAATAAAAAAAAAAAAAACAAAACGTATAGCCTGCATGAGGAAATCAATGCATCACAGATTCAACCCTACGCTTTCAAAGGCAAGAGAAATCTCAAGAAGTTCTGTTATTCAATTTTAACAGTTGCAGGCCTTAGAAAAAATATCTTATTGTGAATATAACAAAGTCCATCTTCATTTAAAGGTGTCATATGACCCATTTATGTCTACTGTTGCTAAAAAGTGCAGAAACATTACCACCACAATTTACAGAAAATAAATGCATTTGCTCTTTCAGCAGCATTTCGCCTGATTGCCTCCAGTTCACTTGCACTGTAAGTTGGAAGCATTTTGTGTCTACTATGTGATTTTCTAACAGGAATCACACAGAAAAAAAACTTTGATAGATAGATTTAAATGAAGATTTTTAAAAGTGAAAAATTTTCAACTTTAAAAGAATTCTCTCTTTGATGTTAATGTTTAGCTTGCTCATGCTAGTCACTACTTCAAATGCAAAACCAGGCAGCATTTTGTTGAGTTCAATACAATAATAACTTATAAAGCTAGGTAGCAGAGTGACTTACAATTAATTTTAATGTAAACAAAGAAATATTTGTTCTGTATTAGATCAAACGAATGCAATCTAGTACTAGTCCACAATCAACAGTAAAAAGTATTGTGTTGTATCATGTGTCCTACACAACCTTTTTGAATATACGACCTTTAAGTTGCTGAAGGTTGCCTCAGAATTTGGCTCAGTTCAGGCAAAACATCTGTTCCCTTTGCAGGTATACTGTAAGGACTTTTTTCTCAGTTGGATTTAGAGCACAGCAAGTGAGCCCTTTTCTGACCGATCATATACACCCCAGCATTTGTAAATCAAGCTCTGGGCTGACAACAGCAGGTCCACATTCCGTCACCCTTTCTCAGCTAGCAAGGCCATTTGACTGCTGTGAGAACTGCTCTTATCATGTCATCAAATCAAAGCATGTTGAGAAAAGGGAATGCAAGAGGCATCTGCAGAATTCCCACAATGTAGTGACTTTGGAACATTGACAGATGCATCTGTCATTTTATACCTTCAACTAACCTGCTGTCCGCTGGCCTGACATAGCAAAGCTGTCCAAGAGTAACTCCAGCTCTCTCATGTTGTTTTCATACGTCTCTGTTAGAAAGACCTGGTGTTTCTTGGCCTTTATTTGACAAGAGATACAGACAAGACAAGAGGGGGAAAAAAGAAACCCATTAAAATAATAAACAGCAGAAACACAGATCACAATGATATTTTTGTTCCCATTTAAATTCCTTCTATATTTCTTATTACTTCTATTCTTGAGCCAAGAGACCTAATGTGACATCACAAATAAGTAACACAAAACCCAGAAACACACTTAAAATAGAAATAAAGGCTTCAGGTAACCGAAAAGAAAACATGGCTGTACTGAAACCTGGTTTTGATCATCTTCTGCTTCAAAAATATCTTAGTGAACATTAATTAACTGCTGCCCATCTCTACAAGCAATGAAATCTATTGTTACACCCTACAAGGGCATCCAGAAAGGCACCAAACTACTGGCAGACAGTCTAGAAATTCATTATTTGGCACTCAGTCAAATCCCACACCTATTCTCATTGCAAACCTGCCTACTTCAGTTGTTAATATCTTCCATGCTCGATAGTGATTTCTTCAGTATCAAAAACTCCTCCTTATGCATGGAATATAAAGCAGCAGAATCCTTCAGCTCTTATCACTGAATTTTCTTAAAGAAAGCTGTTCACTAAGTGCAGCTTATTCTTCAAGACACTGGCTTTATTCTGAGGGCAGAAAAGTATTAGAGCAGACTTTTTTTTAATCACTACAATAGGAAAATTACAACAATCAATTCCTCCAATTTATATCTCATGTTAAAACTTGCAATTCTCAAATATATCCATCTGTCACTCCAGACAAGACCAAAGTCCTCTTGAGCATACATAGTCCTGACTTCTCACTACTATTTTATCAGCTAACTGACAAAAAGAAATCCATCTCAACAGTTTAGGGAAAACAAAAACAAAAAACCAGCTCCACTACCCCTCCCCACCAAATCAAGAGGCAACTAGATTTTAAAAACATCACAATTTTCTTATGACAAAGGTTATGTTCAAAGGTATCTCATTACTTTTTATTACGCGATTTAGTTTTGTTCTAAATTCTAACACCTATTTGAGTAATTTCCATTTCTACTTGGTGATGGAAGGCTACGCTTCCTGTACTGAGAAAAATCCTACTGTTCTCTATTATATCTATAAGCTATTGCTTTAGTTATGCTTCACTGCATGTGTAAGGATACAGTCAATTTCTCAAGTGTGGGAAACAACCTCCTCAGGAAAACTGCTACATACTGGCAGCGTGTAACTGTCAGGCTAAAAAACCAAGAAATGCATTTAATTCTCTGCAGTGTTCTTCAGTATTCAGCATAAATATTTTATAAATTTGCTTTACTCTTTCAATTTTAATTATATGTACTGTATACTGACTAATATATTATTCATATGTGTATTTCAATGTTAGGTCCCCTGTAGCATTTACACGCCTTTCCTTCTGTGAGAGTTTGTACTACACTTCATAAAGAATTTCCAAACCACTTCTATATATACAAAAATAACTAAGTTTTAATTCTTACTCTATAAAATTACCTACGTAAATAGAGCTTGTAGTTGCTCAGCTCCAGTAAAAACATTTTATGTGATGCAAACACTTTAAAACAATTTACTCTCATGTGCTGGTATCATTTCAAAGACCTCACATATTACAAATAATACGACAATATGATCCAGAACAATAAAACAATTGCTCTTTTTACGTACACCACTCCAGCATAGACAAGGTCAGACTAAATATTCCCTCGAAGACACTTTCCCATGAAAAAGACAAATGTGAGAATTTTTTCAGTCTCCTCATCCAATGTTTTCATTCAGTTTAGTTAATTTACCAGAGTTTAGTCATTATGTTCCAGTTTGTTCAGCCTTTACCACTTCTCTGTGCTTTATTTGCTAACTACACCTACATTTCCTAAGATAATTTCAGTTTCTCCTTCAAAACTAATAAAGATCAAAAGGAAATTCCTTAGACTAGCCAGTTTTCCTACAGTTCAGCTATGAAGTATTTAGTATCTTACCTTTCTAACTCACATATTCCATTACTGTCCCAATTATCACAGAAACTGAAGAAAAATACTGTAAACTACAGTGCTGGAAATATAGGCACAGGTTAAGAGTCCAAAAGGGTCTGAACGTATCGATCTAATTTCGTATGACTCACTGACAGTTATCTAATAAGCATGTGTAGAGTCATAAAATCGTGGAATAATTTAGGCTGACAGGATCTCTGGAGGTCATGTGGTCCCACTCCCTGCTCAAAGCAGGGCCGTGCCTGAAGTCAGGTTAGGTTGCTCAGAGCCTCACCCTTGAGTATCCTCAAGGATGGACTTTCAACAACCCCTCCAGGCAACTTGCTCAAATCTCTCACAGTCCTCACTGTGAAGTCGTTTGGTTGGTTTTTTTTCTCCCCCTTACAGGTAATTAGAATTTCCCTTTCTAAAATTTCCGTTTTCTTTCATGCCTTCACTACAGACTTCTAAGGAGAGCGTAGCTCCACCGTCTCCATGAGCACCCACTCGACAGTTCATGGCAGTAGCTTTAACTCCCTCAGGTTCCTTCAGCCCGAACAGACACAGCAAGTATACACAATTCTTTACTCTGAGGAGAAAAATGGAGTCCACAAGTGTAGAAGTCAAATATAATCAGTTGTAGATGCTGAAAGATATCTTCTGCCAGATCAACCTATTCCAGGAGATAAGAATACTTCCTTCTCAGCAACTCCATCCATCATCATATTTGTCTTTGGGGATGCCACTCCTGTAGAACTGCTGGGAAGGTGCTAGTTTGAGTGTCCCACAGATTACTTCAAAATGGAAATTGAGTGACAAAGTGCTAAGGGGGTTACTGAAAGTTTGTTTCTCAGACCACATTAGTAGAAACAAGTGAGAACTTGCAAAGTAAGTCTTCTACTGACTTTACCTGGCTTCCTGCACATCAGGATGGACCATTCTTGATCCTTGAAAATAACCTTGACAATAAAAGACAGCAGAATGCCTGTACGGATGTACAAACAGCTCCTGACCAAATTCAAATATTAACAGGAAACATAAAGGAGATGGAAGAAATACATAGGTGCTATCCAAGCATGGAAAGATACACTTAGGACAGCCAAAAGCCACCTAAAGTTGAATCTGGCAAGGGATGTGAAGTGCACCAGGAAAGATTTCCTGAAGTACATCAGCAGCAAAAGGAAGACTAGGCAAAACACAAGCCCAGCACCGCACATGGCAGAGGATCTGTTAATTAGGATGCAGAAAAGGCCTTCTCAATGCTTTCTTCACCCCAGTCTTTACTAGTAGAACCTTCCTTCAGCAATCCCAGGTACCCGAGATCAGGGGGAAAATTTTCTTGTGATGTTTGCATAAACATCTGATAATTTAAAATTCTTGAAATGTATTAGCATATTTCCTATACCCTCCCAAATACAATTACCTTCACTCACAAAATATTCAAAATAGGAGGCTAGAAACCAAACAATATGGGAGCAAGACATACTTTCTGAACCACAATATATGCTAAATTCTAGCTTATACAATGCTCCTCCAAGTCAAACCTCATATCCTTAAGAAGGCTCCTATTATCACAAAACATCCCTTGAAGACAAAAGAATTTTTGGTAGAAAAATGTGATTGGCAACACTTTTACTTAACCACCAATTTTGAAGCACAATTGCACTTCTAAAGAAACTAAATAGAAACCAAATATTTTTCACTACAAGTACAGTAGGCTCCGCCCAGAAGAAAATCTTCTTCCCAAATGCTTTGCATCCTTACCTGTAAGGGTAACTATAATGATTAGGAAAGCCTACTACTTACAAAAATTATTCCACCCACTGACAGAATTACACTAAACTTCCAGAAGAAGGTTATTTGCCTTTATCTGAGTAATTCCCTACTACCTTGGTTGCAGAGATATTTTGCCTAACTACCAGTGTTTGATTTTGGTATCATCCCATCACCTACTCCAGGACAGAAATGAAGTATCATTGATTTTTCAGCATTTTCCAAAAGCCACTGCTGAATAAAATAAATGCAAACTCTACACACACATCCAGAACAATCCCCATGACCTGATGCTGAAAATGTGCATCTGTACATCAAGTTCAATAATGCTTAAAAAATAAATGTAGGCAGGAGTTGGAGGCCTTTTCAAAATCAACTTATCAAAACCCAGGTAGTTTTATGCAGGGAGCTGAGGCCCAGTCCTGCAACAAACTGTTAGGATTCCGAGAGGGACTTTCTCCACTTTGTTTCCAGTTACAGGGCTTTCCCTGTGGGGCTCTCTTGCACATGCACTAATTCATTCACTGGGTTTGCAGTACACATCCCATTTGTTGATGGCAGAATAAGTACCAAAGCCAGAGCTATCCACGCGACCACCAAGAAGGACTGTTCAGATACTTCTTAAAAAGGATTTGGGTAAAATCTTTACAAAAGCATCAGAATGTTTAGCAGGCACGACCCTGGGGGAACCAGATCAAAGAACTTCTAGAAACAGGATCCAAATGACTGCTCCTCAATTAACAAAAAATGACATTTACTTGAGCGTTGTTCTGTATAGCAGAATAGTGGCACAAATTTTAAGCAACCAAACATAAATTCCAGCCTGAAACCCAAACAAAACGCTCACTGACAATCTTCCTCCTTAGACTACTATTTATTTTTGCTCAAGTTATCTAACCATTGAAAACTTAATAAAGGTTCTTTATTTGCATATATTAGGTCAAATTTTCCAGTTTATAGAGAGGTCTTTAAAAACTGTTCAGACATGTGTAAATTAAATACAATTTCTCAAGAAATTCAGTGTCTCAGTTTTAATCACCTGAAATAAAATTAATCAAAAGTACTCAGTTTTCATCTGGAACTATTCTAGTCTCCTAAAGAGAGATTTTTAACAGCCTTTTGGTAGGAGAGAATGTTATGAAGCATCTCTTTCGTTCTTTGAGTTTGTTCAGGGATTTTTTTTTTAATCAGAGAATTTTTTTTTTTTGAGAACTAGCAACTTTAAAAGCATTTTTTAGATGTTTGTCTTCAAGCACGCAGACATCATTGCTTGAAAGACCCCTCCACTTTCAGAATAAATTACAACACTGGTTTCTTTATAGAAGATCATTTAAGTATACACTTCAGGCTAATTGGCCTTCTTAAGTAAGGACAATAACAGAAGTAGTATCTACATAGGAACACTCCATCCTTGAGTTAGGGAAAGCAAAACTAGAATCAAGGTAATATGAAATTTAACAATCATTAGCACAAAATTCATGAAGACTGCATCTCTTTTTTTTTTTTTAATTGAAAGTAAAAAGGCTCTGTTCACAACAAATTGTCTAGAAGAGATTTACATCTTTGCCATTGAGTAGCAGATGCTACTCCATAGACTTGGTAGAACAGAATCATCATCTCCAGGGTGTTTCATTGTTCACTCAATACTTAAGTTGCTTCTGTTAAAGAACAATGGTTAATACCTATGTCCAGGAACTGGACTCTCAAATAGCTCTGTTCTTTCAGCTCACCTTAACCTACAAAGCTGTTACAGACAGACGAGATACATACAGTGCATGCATGTCTCTAACAGAAAGATTTATAAGCCACGCAGAAAAAGGCAGGCTCTGGGTGTAACCTGTTACACTACTTATACACTAACAATGCTACTCATGATAGTATATATACAAAGGGAAGTAAAGTAATACACATTTCTTCCAAACTAAGTTAATTCATACTACTATACACTATTTTTAATTCTTTTAATTTCCTAACATGCATTCTAGTGAATTGGAAAGCTCCTCAGATTGCAAAATACATTTCTCATAAAATAAAGGTTCAAGATCTCCTGCTTGTCCAGTACTAAGAATTAAAGTTCAGCCACTACTAGGTGCCAGAAATGTAAATATCCTGAGCAACCTTTAAAACAACTGAAGACACCTCCTAATCTTTCCATGGGGCAGGAATATAGCTGGGGCTGTTTCAACATAAAACAAGTTCTGAATCACAATGGCCATTCTTCCAAATTCCTGTTCTTCAAGCTAAAATTTTCTAAACATCCTAGCTGGAAATAACGACAAGCTTGAGACCAATTTCCTCAGAAAAACATAATGGAAATCTTGAGAGCCTGCTCATACTAAACATTCACAAGCAATTTTGTTTGATACTAACAGATCCTATCACATTTGATCCATGCAAATTTCTGGCAAACTTCTGCCACATGCTGGTATTTAAAATTAAAAGCAGCATAACTACTTCACTGTACATTCAACTGAGCCATTAAAAAAAAGAAAAAAAAATTACAAAAACATTCTTTTTCATATAAAGTTTCCAAAGAATGTATTTTGTCCCTGCATAAGCCTACTTCTCTTTAAACAAAAAGCCTTCACTTGTTTGGTTATATTTGCCAAATATTTTACAAACAAAAACATTAACTTGTATTATAGCAATACAGTGAGAAACTAATGTAAAATTATCAGACTGTAGAGCAAAGGACATATTTAGGATATCTAACAACAGTATAAAATACAAGAAAGTAACCACACTTAGTTTCTGCTAGAGTCTCCTGCTTTTTCTTTTTGGGAAGAAAAATAACAAAAAGCTGTCCAGACTGAGTAAACAAGACCACACACAGGCATTCC